TGCGTATCTATCTACTATAATAATAGAAGACAAAGATATAAGTAAAGATGTAGGTAGAGGTGTAGATAGAGATAATAAGCTTATTAGACAACAAGAGCACTAAAATAGTCTAGTTATTAATAACGCTCTTGCTGTTATACTATTATTATTATTATAAGTTAAGTTTGTAAGCGCGCGTTAAGTAATTTAACTACTATAATAGCTAATGCAGATATTATTACACTACTATACCTATCTATTAGATAACTTTAATTTAGGCTTAGACGCAGACTTAGGTAGTAAGCTGTAACATCTCGCCTTTAAGCTTGTTTAGAGGAATCCTAACGTTGTTATAATTAATGTAACCTACAAAACTAACTGTTTTAATATACCTTTCTTCTACGCTTGTAGCACAACTTATATACATAATACTTATAATGTTACCTTTAGTTTTCCGCTCAGCTATATACAAGCAGTGTACCGGCGGATTAGTAGTTAGGTGGGTGTGCTCTTTTTTGCTCTTTTTTTGCCCTTTTTTTGCTCCAAATCCGACCGCAGGAGACGAAGCTTTAGCCGTGGATGAAGACATATGTGACATGACATGCTCCGGTTACAGTACACGATCTGCATTACAAGCGATCATGCCTTGCATTTTGCCACTAGCTACCTGTAGCCGCGCTTCGCTCCTCTGCGTCTGGCCGAAGACCTGTATCACCTTCTCTACACATTCCCAAAACCCTTCGAATTCCGAATCGCCAGCCCCAACTTCCGCTCCAACACCGCCCTATCCCCATAGTCCGGCAAATACAGCTTCCCAAAACACGTGCTACTACTCGGTAAGCTCCCCGGGCTTCCCATGATCCTAACAATGTGAAACGTGATACTCTCGTAGCCCGTAACAGGCACGCGATCAGACGCCGTCACAAACTCAAGGAGGAGACGCAACTCTTCTTGACTGTACCCCTCGACCACATCCCAGAAAGCGCGGATGTTGGAATGCTGCGCCGTATACCCGTCTTCGTATTTAGCGCAGCGTTTCAAGTCCAGGATGGAGATGTGCTGTGTGCCTTCGATGAGGTGGCGGAGCGAGTGTGGGGAGAAGAGTTGGAGGCTCTTTGGGTGGATGCAGGTGAGGAAGCCGTGCAGGAAAGGGATGAGGCCGGGGGCGACGGAACTATATGTCAGGGCGCGGACGTAGTCCTTCACATACTGTGCACGGTTTTCGTTGGTGACTAGACCGGGCTCTTCGATTGGGGAGTTTGATTCAGCGAGTGCAGGGAAGTTATCGCCTAGGTTTTGGTCGACCGGCTGGCCGAACGCTTCGTAGCTGAAGACGTACTCGCGCATGAAGACGTCTGCGACGTCGCCGTCGCTCCAGGATAAGAGGGTGCGGAAACTTTCTGCTAGGCTGGGCCAGCCATCGCTGATGTAGTCGATGGGATCGTAGTCGGCTGGGCCTTCGACGCGCGGGTTGCCGGTGGTTTGGAGGTACTCGTAGAAGGCGAGGGGAAAGGTGACGGGTAGGGTAATGCCGTTGTAGACCGCAAGACTGAATAGTATTCCGAGCATCTGGAACTTCCACGGGGGTTCGAAGCTGCCCGGTTGGAACCACGTCATGTGCGTCTGTGGATCGATCGTGAACATGCCTGGCAAAGTTAGTCGACTAGTTTGCAAGAGTATGATGTGGCTCACCATTCTCCGGCCTGAAAGCTTCACTCAGAACCACACGGAAGAATTCGTACGTCACGCCGCCGTGATCCGCACCGACTTCTCCTTCGTTGTGACCCATCTTGACCTTGAGCGGTTTCAGCAACATCCTCTTGTCCATACCCCACAGCTGATTAAGTGTGTCTTTCAAAGGCTCTTCACGACTGACATCCAACACTAGGTATTCACTCAGGGTAGTCTTCATTTTCCTCTTAATGATCCACCAATAAGGTTCTTTGAGGAACATCTCCAGCGACTTCTGCATTTGGTGGGTGCGCATAGTATGGTCGTACTGCTTCATCATCTCGGTGAAGTTGATGGTACGGAAGTACGCTACGAGATGCTGCGCGGACAAGAGGCATGGGTATTCGAAAACGTGTAGAGTATTGGGGTGATGCTCCCAGGTGAGGTAGTTGATAGGCTCGTTTACTGTGTCAATGCGCTCATCGAGTATCGGCATTTCGAACATGTTGGAATGTAAGTGTAGAGTTTGCCGCTTGAAATCTGTGACCGTTAGCTTGCTGGTGCTACGAACATCCTGTATGCTTACGAAGTTTGTCGAGGACCATCACGGCTGTACCGACGCTGCTCCACTTGTTGATTTCAGCCTTGCTGTCCCAATTCTTGACGATGATAGTCCTCAGCCATTCCATAAAAGTAGCTGTCACAGTCCACCCTGGATCTCCATCGCGATCATGGCTCGAGTTCAGCCTCATCTTTGTCGCCATACCGACGCGCTCTACCACCTCCAGATGTTGTATAACCATATCCACAAGCCCGAATGAAGGTGTAACTTGTTCTGACTCGTCCCGATTCGTTTCCGCGACGTCTAAACTGGCCAGTATATGTTCGAAACAAGTCCGCGTTCCGATAGCCCGAAGTAAACGATCCGCAAGACGCACTGCCGGTTCGTACTCCAACTCGTCGATAATGTCCATGTAGGGGTGCGCAAAAGCGTCGGTATTGGGAGTAGCAATGGGCACCATGACACCCCAAGATCGAAGCTTCCGTATTTGGGCCCATGTGTGCGGCCATCCAAGCGGTACCAGGGAGGTGAGTGCGTGTATGCATATCATGACGATATGGGCGGCTTGATGGGTGTCGAGATAGCGCGAGGCACCTTGATGACCACTGGAAGACTGGTCGGAAGGACTGTTATTGGAAGCGCCCTTTCTTGATGGCCTCAGACGAGGACTCTTCTGAATGTCGAGTTCAGGTGGAGAGACGAATAGAGCATCTAGCGCGAGCCATAGGCTATCGAAGATGAGCGCACCGTTGCGATGGTTCCAGTCTCTAAAAGAGTTCGCTAAGCGTGATGAGTCGAGATGAGGTAAAGGTGAGTCTTTGAAGCCTTTGTTGGTATCATGGAATGACGCAAGTAGCTTTTCTGGGTCGCTCAAGGTATAGAACAGAGATCGGTTGACGAGGGGTTTTGTGCGTCGCGTACGTCGCCGACGATCAAAGTCCACAACGTAATTGAAGTCTGTAGTGTGGCTCTTGCCGTAGCGATGGACGTCGTCTTTCAGCTCATTGAGGATACTGCAATTCAATGTTGGGACAACGGGTACACCGGATGATGAATGTTCCTCAACAGGGGTGTTCTTCGTAGGTAGTTCGGTTGCTGTTGATGATGGCTTCGCACGAGGCGCAGCAGCCGGGTATGTCCCTCCGATAGTGAAGCTTTTCTTTCCTGTTTTCGAGATTGATAGCATTGCTAGATCTGATGCACCATCCACGGCAGTAGGATGTGCTGATGAAGGAGGCTGCCTTTGAGTCGTGCCGTTCGAGGGATGGTAGGGTATTCTGTGGACATGGTGCCCGTTAGCCAGGACCTCGGCGCCAGCGTTGTCTGGCTGTGAACTGTCACGAGTGGCGGCTGATAGCTGTGAATGCTGACGAACGATACGCGAGTTTCCAGTCAATTGTGATGCGTTCGAATCGTTTGTACCAAGCGTTGGCCTGGTGCTTGGATCCGCATGACGCCCATCGGTCTGGGAAGCGAATGTAGCGAATGTTTGAGTAGGACGAGCGTCATGTGCAGGAGTATGCTCGGATTTGCGAAGGGAAGCAAGGACAGAAGCAGGTGTGGGTATTTGCGTGGTATAAGAGTACATCACAGTCAAGCTGTCGTACAAGTTCTGACTAAGAGCCTTCGGGTCTTTTCTAGCTTGCTGCCGTTGCTTGAGGGCATTGATCAAGTCGCCATCCAGCTCTTGTTGACCACTATTGCCCGCACGACGTTGCCTGCGCTGTTGTGCTAGTTGCCATACCGAAGGATAAACAACGTAGTCCTCGGCGGAGCCGTTGCTAACATGTTGGGCAAGACTATTTGTAATCTCGAATGACTCAGGCGCGACCTTGAGCTCGTGGGGGCATAGGCCGCGATTCGGATTGTCTTGGCCGGCAAGGTAATGGGCTAGGGCCGTGGCCGTGAGCGACGTAGGCGGACGGTGTGGTCTGGGCGCGATGCGCTTGCCGGATGAGAGGCACGTGGGGGTATCGCAGTAGGCACTCTTACAGCCATGTAGGATCTGGGATAGGTACCTAGTCGACAGTCAGCATTCATCCAGACAATGAGAGGGAGTGATGGGCGCACTGTCGGACAAGATGTTGGAAGCGGCGCTGTCTTTCTGTCTGTGAGCATTCCAGGACGCGTTTGGTGTCTTGTACGTCTATCACATCTCTTCTACGCGAGCGGTTCGAGGCACGTGATGACCGTGTCGATGGGCCAGCCGCTGCAGAAGCCGATGATGTCTGGTTGGTGGCATTGTACGGAGCATCGCGAGGGTGCTCAGTCCCGTCTGACATGCTCATATCATCGATGACGATGTTGTTGCAAGAGAGAGTGGCGGCTAAGGATGCGGTCTGGTATTGTATGTGCGAGTGTCATGGTATCGCATAGCCACTCGAGGTATACTGTAGCAGACGATAGGGCTGAGGTAGTGGCCGAGGGGTGCTCTTGCCCTGCGGCTCTAATCCGCTGCAGGGATGGCAGGAGCCAGTGGCTTGGCACAACGCCTGCCGATTGATGTCATGCCTGTGCGCTTCAATATTCGCCCCAAGTCGGCCTTCTGCGCAATTCACCATCTTCGCCGTGCGCTGGACTGCTGATAAGACGCACAATCCGACTCCCGCGCCTGCTCACTTTGTAATCGCGCCCTGCTCGGCCTAGTCGCTTTTTGCTCCTCGGCCAGTCATAAAGTCGTGAAATCGTCGGCGCTACCACATCCCACACTCAACCCCACCTATCGCCTATATTTCTACTCCTCTCTCCGAGTGCAACCACACCGTCAAGCCCAACTACACTCGCAAAGATGGCGTCGCAAGTTCCTTCCCAGGCTAACATCCAGTCTACGCATCCCTTCACTTGCAACACATGCCAGGTCGCCTTCCGATCGAGCGAGTTGCAGCGGGCGCACATGCAGACCGACTGGCATCGCTACAACCTCAAGCGTCGCGTGGCCTCGCTCCCACCGCTATCCTCTGAGATCTTCACCGAGAAGGTTCTTGCGAACAAGGCCACCGCTGCCGCCACTGCCGCCAAGGCGTCGTTTGAGAAACTGTGCACCCCGTGCCAGAAGACGTACTTCAGCGAAAATGCCTACAACAACCACCTCAACAGCTCCAAGCATCGCATCAACATGGCCAAGTCGGGTAGAGGTGCGCAACTAGATGACGCCGCATCGGTAACGGGCTCCATGGTCAGCTCTGCCTTTTCGCTGGGAGAGTCCATGGCTGAGTCGGAAGCCACCACCGTCAACGGGGACAAGGATGTCGCAGGTGTCGCCGAAGGTCTACAAAATGCCAGCCTCGAAGGCGAGGACGCAGCTGAGAACGAGTCCGCCGCCGCCGAAGACGACAAGAGCTCTGTTGCCGCGTCGACCAAGCCTGCCACCGATCCCCTCCTCGACTGCCTATTCTGCAACTACAAGTCGCCCAACTTCCAGCTCAACATTACTCACATGGGACGATACCACGGCATGTTCATACCCGAGAAGGAATTCCTCGCTCAACCCGAGGAGCTTATCAAGCATCTCCACGAGAAGATCCACGCCTACCACGAGTGCCTCAAATGCCACAAGACTCTTCACACCGCCTCTGGCATTCAAACGCACATGCGCGACCGCGGCCACTGCATGATTGCCTTCGACTCGGATATTGAGTTGGTCGAGATTGGCGAGTTCTACGACTTCCGGAGCTCTTACCCCGACGCTGCCGACTTCGACGAGATGGCAGAGGAGGCTGAAGATTCAGACGATTCGTCATCTACAACAGGAGGCGGAATCAAGCTCGGTGCCAGGCGCGAGACCAAGACCACTACAGAGGATGACGCAGCCATGTCGAGCAACGCCGAGGAGGACGCAGGCTGGGAGACCGACAGCACCGTCTCGAGCGTACCGACCGATGAGATCACAGCCGTACCCATCGACCGCAGCCACCGCCACAAGTCACTCAACAAGTCGAAGCACCACAACCACGCCGACCCCCGCCCACACCGCGCTGCCGACGGCTTCCACTCCCACGCGCACCACACTCCCCAAGCCGTCTACCACGACGAATACGAGCTCCACCTCCCCTCGGGCCGCACCGCAGGTCACCGCTCACTAAACAAGTACTACCGCCAGAACCTGCGCAACTACCCCGGCGTCGCCGAGCGCATGGAGGAAGCGCAACGCGCCCGCATACCCGGTGCCATCACCGCCGGCGACGAAGACGAAGAGGACCAGGACGGCGACGTCACTATGGCCGGCGAGGAAGGCGAGGAGTGCAGCCAACTCCAAGTCCGCGGTCGCGGCCACGATAAAGACCGCCAGCTCCTGTCTCGTGCCAACGGCGGGCGGGGTATGGTCGGTGTCACCGACGCCAAGAAGAAGGAGATCCAAGCTGTTGAGAAGCGCGATAGGAGGAAGGAGCAGGCTGCTCGCAGTCGCTACCAGGCTAATGTTGAGAAGGCGCAGAACTCGCAGAAGCACTTCCGCGATCCCCTTCTGCAGTAGTTGGAAGGATTTCTGTGTGTGGGCGGATTGGCGGTTGCTTTTGGGTTCTTTTCTTTCTTTTACGTGTGTCTTTTTAACGAAACTTGTTATGAGCATGGGGAGGCGTTTGCGTTGCAGACAAAAGGCATTACACCTAGTGACTAGAATGTCGCAGATTCTGTGATACACTTTGGACTATGGATTACATTACAAAAAAGACTGAGCTGTCGACATGTATCGTGATTTTATCGTGACAAGGTTTCTTGTATATGCTACGGATGTTGACACACATACAAAGACTTCATACATGACATTATCCTACGTTTCCCTACATACCAACATCCACCATGTCACATCCGCCAACCTTTTATCCCACATCCATCCCACATCCAAACCATCAAAACACGTCCCCAAAATTTTCCCACTAACCCCGTAACCAAACTACTTCCCACTCCTGTCCTCACTCTCCCCCCTCAACCCCGCAGCATGCACCTGCCTCCTAATATCAAACAACGCATCATCAATCTCCCTCTCCTCCTCGCGCCCTAGAACCAGACTCGGGCTGCGGAAAAGATATTCCTTGAGGCTCTTGAGCTGGTTGATGATGCTGCGGGGAGTGAGGATGACGCGTTCGGCGAAGGAAGGCGTTGGTGTGTGGGTGCCTGTTGTGGAGGCTTGGGGTGGGTGTGCGGGTTGGGGTTGAGGAGGTGCGGTTTCGGGTGCGGCGTCGGCTTCGACTTCGTCTCCAGCTTCTGATTCAGCTTGCAAGTCCAGCACATCCCCATCCCCACCCCCATCCCTACCACCTCCCTCCATCTTCCCAGACCCCGAAGACCTCGGCCTCGGACTAACCTGCACATGACTCAACCTCTTACTCCCACTACTTCCCGGCGTCGATCTTCTCGCTTCACTGACATCCTGATCCGCGTTCTGTCTCGCTCGTTTAGGCGCTGGCGTTTCCGTTTCATCCACAGAGATATCCTGCGTGTTTTCGACGTGAGAGAGGAGGGATTGGGAGCGGCGCAGGTGTTGCTTGCGGGTTGTTGATGCGGGGACGGGGATGGGGGGTTCGCTGGTGGTGGTAGAGGAGGAGGAGGAGGAGGAGGTGGTGGTGGTGGTGGTAGTGTGTGTAGATTTCCGTTTCTTGCCTCGCGGGTTGGAAGTTGGGACTGGTGCGGCGACGGTGATGTTGTCGAGGATGTCGGTGTCGGAGGGGTGGGATGGTTCGGGCTCTGGTTCTGATACCGGGGCAGGAGCGGCAGCTGAGGCAGGCGCGGGACTCTCCTGTGTCTGTTTCTTGCCGTTCTTCTTGTTCTTTGCGGGTGTGCGTCTGGGTTTCTTTCCGCTTGGAGGCCGAGAGGGGCTGCCCATGGAGTGCCGGGAAGAGCTACGCAGGGAGTACGGTGTTCCTTTTGCGGAGCTGTTGTCGAAAGAGTCACCTACTCGGCTTGTACTACTTGTGTTGGCTTGGGAGCTCTTGCGCGGAGATCGGCGGGCAGGACCGCGGGTTGGCGTTTGTGACTCGTCTACTTCGGTGTCGCTACCAGCTTGGTCCTCCAATATTGACGATTGTGGATGTGATGCGGCATCGACGTATTCGGCATTAGACTCTGATTGTGCGGACTCTGTCGCTTCCGCAGGAGTATCATGTACTTGCATATCGGCGTCGATTTGGGCTGTGAGTTGCAAGTCTATGGTGGAGCTTGGGACATCTGACATGACAGTGTCGGAAGGAAGTTCAGCGTCCATTTGCGTATTGTCGTGGAGCGCAACAGCGTCAAGCAGTGCTTCCTCATCGATTGTGGTTCCTTCATCAAAGGAGATCGAAACCGAGCTTTCCGGTTGACGGTACTCAAAGCTAGATCCTACTAGAACATCAGGCTCGCTTTGCTTGTTGTTAAGCCTGTCGTCCTTGCTGAACTGAGGCGGCGAAGAGTTCAGGTCATCGTTCGCGAACTGTATGCTTCGCACGGCCGTCGGCGTTGCAATGTCCGTGTCCTCGCTCACAATATGACGAGTATTCTTGCGGGAATGTGGTGTCGGCGACGATCCAAGGTAGCCGTCCATAGGACCCATGGCTGCGAGAGCTTTTAGTGGAGTTGCCCGAGAGGCGGTATCTGGCAGATCATCTGCAGTCAACGCATCTGAGTGTATCTCCATCGGCGACGGTACATCCTCTGGCTGTGGTGAGACAGCGCCCATCTTTGCGAATATACCAGTGCTGAGCCTTTGACGATCGATCATCTCTTTTTGTCGGTCAGTTAACACCTGTGATTCTTGCTGGAATGGATTTGACGGCGAGGAGACGATAGGCTCGAATTTGATCTGAGAGTCATCGTGGCGGAGACGGATCTTCGGCGTTTGTCGAGAAGGCACTCTCCTGGTGGCTGAGGTGGGTACTGCAGGAGATCGAGACTTGGATCTCCGCGACGCTTTGGAGATCTTGAAGGGCGAGGCCTTTACTCGCGGGCTCTTGAAAGCACGTTTGACCTCGTCCGCACTCGTGTCGGAGTCGTAGAACGAGAGCTTGTTCTCCTGTTTTGACGTTAATAACGTTTTGAAGGTACTGATATTTGCACTTACAGCATCGTCTTCCCGGATTTCCAGTGATGGAAGAGAAAGCTCGACACTGTTCCTTAATTGGCGCAGGGCCTGCTCAAGTCGAGTGGGGTATCGCAAGCTATCCTCTTTCCCAAAGGTGGCATTCCAGGTCGCAATAGAGATGTTGACGATACTTCGGCGTCTGCTTAGGAAGCCTGCGGTCACCAACGCTTGTAGATGAAGCAGCGTTTGGCTGTCCTTGCGCGGTAACCGCTCTACAGCTTTGTTGACTTCCTCCCACATGTTGATGACCTGAAAATGGTTAGTGATTGCTGGAGCTTTCGGATGACGGTGAACGTACCTCACGATGCAAGCTCTTCAGTGGCTCTTCCTTGCTCTGCATCTTCTTCTCCGGATCTTCCACCCAAACCTGGATCGCATCTTGTATCTTGCGTAGATACCCAGCGAGATGAGACGTCGAGCAGTGTTGGACCGAGGTGCTCAGCGCAGAAAGAAAGCCTTTAGTAGGCTCTACATCGTCTTTGTCAAGATTCCTGTAAGCGGCTGACCCTACGGAAGTGATGGCTCCGTAAAGATGGACATAAGGGTCGATGTCATGGGACCTTGCAGCTGTGTTCGAAGGCCACAGATTCTGCCGACCTTGATCCATGACTTTGCGGGTCATCTGCTTTGGTAGGTTGCGGAGAAGAATGCTGGCGTATGCCAGACAGGAAGCTTTGTCTTCATCAGGTGTGCGCTTCAGGACCTGTTCAGAGACCTTCTCAATCACAGCGAGTGCGAGTGCACCTTCTCCCGCTTCCCGTCGGACGGTACTGACCAAAGTCGACAGAATCTGATGCCCGACGGGCTTGTCTAGCAGATAGGCAGAACCCAGACTGAGGATTTCGACCACAATCTCGTACTCTTTGCCCAATGAGCGAGCGCTGCGGTCACCTGAAGGGGCTGTTTGATCTTGCAACATGGTATCAAGCAAGGTCACAATCCGCGTCCAGAACTCTGAGGCCACTGCACCCTTCAGCGAGCCATCCACCGTCGCGGCACAGTCCCGAAGAAGCTCCAGCTTGCTCAACCGAGTGTTTTGGGCAGCAAAACAGGGCTCGATGATCACATCCATTGCGCGGAGTCGAACAGGATCAGCTAGCTTTCCTTCTGATTGTGTGACGAGAAGATCCAGGAGGAAGAGGAGTGGGGACGATCGGGTGCCCTGGTGCCGTGATCGATGTGATGGTGTCGATGCGACTTCGATCTCGTTGTCGGCGTTGCGTGTGAGACATTTGTCTGCGAACTGAAACGCGCCCATGTTCTGCACAACAGTCTCTATCAAGAAGCAGAACTTGGTCGCCCAAAGATCCTCCCTCTTCTGTTCTACCGCAATGTTGTCCGTATGGCTGTCCCAGATCCGACGCAGCAGATTGATGATATGTGCCATGGCATCTTTGGTTTCTGTGGACGCCATGATCTCCTTGCTGCTTGCTTCCACCAACGAGTTGATGACTGCTGTCCACATCGTCTGAAACGGTTCGTCTTCGTGCTCTTTGCTTTCGGTCTTGAGTGCAGCCTCTAGAATATTTTCCACAAACTCTAGTACAAGAGCAATCGACTTCCGTACCCACTTGGGATCGACCAGAGGTAGCTCCCCTCGCTGGATCATGAAATTTGGCCGGAGATCTAGCGCCCGATTCTCGTTCCAAGGTTTCCGAGAGCCATCCAAGAGAGCAGACACAATTCGGCATGGTATGGCGTGCTGTGGAGCAGACTTTGCGATTATTGGACTCCAGAGGCCAGCTATGAAGTCAGTCCAATGTCCGTCAAATTGTTCAAAAGAGGCTGCTGGTCGAAACGCATAATACAGCATTGTGAAGTATGCGGATGAAACAGCGTCGCGCTCGGCTTTCTTTACTGGGGTCTTCCGTTGCAGTGCATGCACTGAGATTTTAACGAACATCCCCGACCAGGCTTTGACTTTCTTTTCTTCGGGTAAGTTCATAAAGTTGACAGAGTAGGCCAGGAAGGCAACGGCGACATTGGAGTATAATCGGACTTGGTCGTTATCCGATGACAGGCACTTGTTAATGAGGACCAGCCAATCCTTCAAGCCTGCAAACGCGTCAAGCGAGTCTTTGAGTAGACCCGTGACAGCAGCCACGATCTGTGGCACCAAGACAGCGTAATCACCACCGAGCATACGATCCAGTTCACCTGCGAAAACGCTAGCAATGGTGCCGCCGTCGCTCTTAACCCGGTTCAGAACAGACAAGACCGATTTGGCGACGTGTCGGTCATGGCCAATGGTCTTCGCAGCCGTTACTGCAGTGTCCAGCGCGCTTTGGCTGATATCCTTCTGAACCGACACCAGAGCTTTGAGAGTATGCGTGAACCATCGTTCGGTATGCCTAATCATAACGTCCGGGCGTTGCTGAAGCAGCTTCCTGTATATCCGTACCCTGTATGCCTGTACC